TCTATTATTGAGATCTTTAAATAAAGAGGGAAACATAATTTTAATGATAGAAAAAGAAGGGTATTTTAATTGCCTGTGGTATAGCTAGATCTTGTTTAAAGTATTAGTGAAAAATACAGTGTGGCATCTGAGGTGCATCTAAGAAGTAGAGTATGTTCCATATTTCAACATATCCAATCATCCTCCTCGAGGTCTGGTTTCGGAAGTTACAATAAGAAGAAAAAAAAGATCACTTTATAATTTAAATAATATAATAATGTGGTCAGTAAAATAAGCTTTGTACACAATTTGGGAACATGAAACCCATGCATAAGTGTAAAATAGGAACTTATTTTAATACTTCTAACACCTGCTACATTGGTCAAATTAACCATCAACAATAACTATCTTCTTATTGATTGGACATGGAACACAAATGTAAGGGTTTAGACGAATTGGCCACGTGATCGGTGACTTCTGAGCCCTTGATATAGGATAGTGCAAAGAGTTTATCTGAAACATTTAGTCCATACGAGATAGAAAACTACCTAAGTGTGCCAATAAACCTATACTTGTGGGTTTCTCCAAAGACTCAATCAGAGTCCTTAGCGTACAATTTTTGTTTTGAACTCATTGAGATTAGACTTCTTCTCCTCCCATTGTCAATTGACCATATGTTCTTGTCTGTGGGGCTTTTGTAGTATATTTTTATATCTCCAATCTCTATTGAGGATACTTGGCTTACCATGAAGTTTCCAACATTACTTGTGTGTTTGAGTTTTTTATACAAAAGTACACCATAAATTGTCTCTACTACCTCCACCTATTATTAGTGTCTTGAATTGACAGGACTGTTTTGCCTGTCAGCATGGTTCAGCCTTAGTTACCATAGCTGAGCTTTCAGTAAAGCCGGATTTGAACATGATCCTTCTCCTGCTCTCTTCCACCAAAATGATGGAAATCACTTTGTTTGGAGGTGGTATTTCTTCTTTTCCTAATATTTGGATTCGCATCTGCTCAAATTTTGCATTAAGACCAGTCAGAAATTGGTAAGCTCTATCCTTATCCACAAAGTTCTCTAAGATTGCAGCATCTTTTCCGCACTACGTATTGAAAAGTGATATTAATATACTTCCTACCACCAGCCTTTCAGAGACTGGCATATTTCGTCACTGATCGACTTCCTTACTTTGTAGACTAGGTCTTTCTTATTAAAACATAGATTAGAATGCATCTTTAATTTTGGAGTAAGTTCTCCTGACTACTTCCCATATCTTCTTTTTTAGTGGGTGAGAACATACATTACCTCTACTAGCATTGAATTGTGGGTCTCTCAGTTTTGGTCGGGTGCCCACAATACAGCTGATTTTTCCTTTTCTCTTAAGCATTCTGCAAATCAATTGGGAGTGTTTGAGATAGTGTTTTCCATTCAGGTGGTATATGGCCTGAATGTTCTGTAAACTTCTCATATTAGGGGTAGCGTCAATAGTTTGTTATGTGGCTTCCGATGTGGCGAAGAAGTCAGGTTGGTAGACCATGCATTTGTGTGTACTGCTGGCAATAAAGGCTGATATGAAGGCTGATTGGTGCAATTAACACATGGCAGAGGCAAAGGCTATGCAGCATTGCAGGGCATACTAATGCGTGGTTTTGTGTGGCTGATTAGAGCAGATAGACATGCAGCTGCAGGTCCTGCTGCAAGCTGCTGGAGGGAACCTGGCTAGTGAGGTTGCACAGCTAAGGTGTTTGCACAGCTGGACAGAGCAAAAGCATCTCCGGCAGTCTGGACAAGTACTGAGCAGGGGCTGTGCTCAGCTGGGTTGCACAGCTGAGCAGGGGCTAAATAGGGGCTGCGCTTGGCTGGTTTCCCGGCTATGAAGGCTGGCGATTGAGGTTTTTGGGTGGTGACTGGCTGTGAAGGCCTGTGGCTGCTGTGGTGGTGGCAAGCAATTAAAGCTGCCCCCATTGGAGTTCTGTTTGTTTGTCTTTTTTTTTTCCTTTAATTTTGGCAATTAAGACTGATTAGTGTTTACAAAAAAAGTTATGGTGTTTTTTCTTAGAACTCTGATAACATGTGGAAGAATGAATCAATGTTGTTATTACTGAATAATGAGGTCTTGTATATACAAATTCTTAGGAATAACAAAAGAAAACCTACAATAAATTACATATACAGGTATCTTATCAAAATACTCTTTATCTTAGTTACACACAACATACCCTTTCCAACACTTTCTATCTCAAACATAGAACAAAATTTTGTTTTATCATATGTTGTTTCCACTAACAAAAGCTACCTAAGAACTACCTAAAACCAAAAATAAGTTCAAATCTCTATAACATAAACCCCTTTTCGCATAAAAGGAACTTGAACTTCTTGGACCAAAGCTAACAAATAATCCCTACAGTTGAATCTTACCCATAGCAAGAACCTATATTTTACTGATCAAAATATGAATTTGAAACAAATTAACACTAAGAAATTATATATTTCCTTTTTTAAAGGAAAGACTTAGTATTTTCAAATCACCCTAATCCAAAGACTATGGAAACGCAATTTCTGTTCATGAACTATACGTCTGTCAATAAAGCTGTCAGGCCATTTATTTCCATTTACCTACAAAAGCACCAAACAGACACTTGACACTTAATTGCCCTTATCATTAAGTACTCTGTCTATCATGAAACTGCGAAGACTAGTTCAATTTCTTGATACATGATGTCAACATGTAACAACCCTTCTTTACATTCATTTATTGCTTGTCTGCCTTGTACAATATAATGGTTGAGACATGACAAATTGAACTGATTTTGTCCATTAAGAAAAGTGTTGGCCCCGCCAATAGAGTAGATCTATGCAGTGAAGTATGAACTCTTTGCCCTCAAATTATGCCAAGACTTGGAGCATGGTCATTGCAACAAATAGGGCCTAGGGTGTGGGACGAAATCCTTACAGTATGATACAACAATTTAAGATTTTTTTTCCCTCGAGATTGCTATATATATGTATGTATTTTATCTTTAGAACTGTAACTAGGGTTTCTTTTGGTGAGATTTGAGTGTATTGAGACAACTGTGTAAGATAGAAAAAGATGTACATTATAGTTTTTAGAATTATGGTGAAACAAATGATCTTAAAGATCTTAAATCCTCTAAAACAAATGACAGCAAAAAGCTTTTCTTCAAAACCTGTATGTTCCTCCTTCCCAGGAAAATCATCAACTCTAGCTACCATATGTTAAAGAAGAAGATTTAACAGTCATTTTAGAACAGCTCTGTGATGCTAGATATTCAGGCAGGGAAGGTATTTAATGGTCTATAGATGTTTGGTTGAGGTTCCTTTCAATTGATGGATTCTTCATAAGTGTAAAAGTAATCACTATAATTATGCAGGTAACAGTACGTATCTAATTATCATTTAAAAAAATTAATTAAGAAAATGGTATTGATACACTTTGAATATATTAAGAGAATAAAACGACAAACATTATGATTTATGGTTTGGGTATCCTACAGTGTTGTTTATTCCATTTCTTTCCGAATAACAGAAAGGAATGCCATGACAGAATCAATAGAAGCATTCCCAATGTTTTTGGTGTATTTTTCTTTATTCTGTATCCCAGTAGCTTCAACCACATTAACCACTATGACTCCACGTACATCCATTATTGAAGGTGATACCCTAGTTTCAGCTGACGGAAGCTTCGAACTGGGATTTTTCAGGCCTGGTAAGTCAAGGAATTATTACTTAGGAATACGGTACAAGAAGGTTACTGAAAAAGAAATCATATGGGTAGCCAACAGAGAAAATCCACTCACTAATCTTCATGTAGCAGTACTAAATGTCACCAGGGAAGGCAAATTAGTCCTATTTGGTGACAGAAATAGCATCATTTGGTCATCAAATCTGTCAAGAACCGCAACAAATCCTGTTGTGCAGCTTCTGGATCAGGGAAACCTAGTCGTGAAAGGCAGTAATGCTACAGACTCTAACATATTGTGGCAGAGTTTTGATGACCCATCTGACACGTTACTTGCAGAGATGAAACTTGGGAGGAACTTTGAAACTGGCTTGGAAAGGTCCTTGTCCTGTTGGAAAAGCCCAGAAGACCCTAGTCCAGGCCAATTTTCTTTATCGATAGATCTTCGAGGGTATCCACAACTAATCGTTTGGGATAGATCTGCAGTACGTTATAGATTAGGATCCTGGAATGGATTATATTTTACTGGGACTCCAGAGCTGAAACAAGTAAGTGTGCTAAAATTTCTCTTTGTTTTCAACAAGAAGGAAGTGTACTACACATGGGAGCGTGGAAATTCTTTTGTATCAAGATTAGTGGTGAACCAATCTGGGTTTCTGCAGAGATTTGCAACAACAGAAGGATCAAATCACTGGGTTCTTCTATATTATGGACCGCAAGATCAATGTGACTATTACTCGTTATGCGGTGCATATGCCAGCTGCAACATCAACAAGGATCCTGCACTATGTACCTGCTTAGACGGATTTTTACCGAAATCGCCCAAGGATTGGAGCATGTCAAGATGGTCTAGTGGATGTACACGGCAGTTTCAGTTGGATAACTCGGATTGCAAAAAGGGAAACAACTTTCGTAAGTACACAGGATTGAAGTTGCCAGACACTTCTTCGTCTTTGTATGATGAGAGCATCAGTCTCACAGAATGTATGGAAAGGTGCTTGAGGAACTGCTCGTGCACTGCATATGCTAATTCAAATATCAATGGAGGAATTGGCTGCTTGCTTTGGTTCAGTGACTTGGTTGATATGAGAGACTACTCTCAAGGTGGGCAAGACCTCTATATACGAGTGGCCAAACCAGAAACAGATATATGTAAGTATGCATTCTGACTCAGGTTTCTGGAATAAGAAATTTGTGTAAAAACTTATTGAGAATGATCATAGCATGCAATCAAATCTTACAGTTCACGGTAAACCTAAGACAAGTAAGTGGAAAGTAGGACTCGGGATTGGCTTTGTAATATTGACGGCAGCCATTACAGGAGCACTCGTCATATATATAAGAAGCAAGAAATGCAGGAAAGAAGGTTTGCACTTTAATTTTTTTCTATTTACTTCATAAAGATTTCTCTTGTTGCCACATTTGAGTGCCTTAGAATCAATAGCAAATTTCACAGTGACAGGAAATATCTGGCAAAAAGATTACATCAGTGAAGATGGAAAGGATGAGATGGAGTTACCAATGATTGATTTAACCACCATAACAAAAGCCACAGATGGATTTTCGAGGGGGAACTTTCTAGGCCAAGGTGGTTTTGGGTCTGTTTACAAGGTAATTAAACAGTACTGTTTCTTCCAGGAAGAGATATCCTCTCTGGCAAAGCACATAATCTTTCATTTCTTAAATGACTGGTTCCAGGGTAAGTTAACAGATGGCCAGGAAATAGCAGTGAAGAGGCTTTCTGAAAAATCCAAGCAAGGACTCAAAGAGTTCAAAAATGAAGTTATACTAATCGCAAAACTTCAGCATCGGAATCTTGTAAAGCTTCTTGGATGCTGCATTCAAGGAGATGAAACCATGTTAGTCTACGAGTACATGCCTAACAGGAGTTTGGACTACTTTATTTTTGGTTTGAATCTCTCTTTTTCAGCATATATTTTCTCATTTCTATCATTTCCATTTCTTAACACCTCACTTATGGTTTAATCATTGAGGGATAGACTAACACGGAATTTAAAAAGCCAGATAAAGTAAGAAGCAAGTTCCTAGACTGGCCTATGCGCATGCACCTTATTGGAGGAATCGCTCGAGGACTTCTTTATCTTCATCATGACTCAAGATTAAGAATCATCCATAGAGATCTAAAAGCTAGCAATGTCTTGCTAGATAAGAATATGAACCCAAAAATTTCAGACTTTGGACTGGCTAGAACATTTGGGGCAGATCAGATTGCAGCCAACACTAATAAAGTAGTGGGAACGTAGTAAGTATTACTAAACATCTGCCCAGTAGTTTAAGTTTGTATGCTTTCTTGAAGACAATGCTTTTCTATGTGTTATTTTTTAGTTGCTAGATATGGAAAATTAGGCAAGCAAGTCAAAGCCGAAAAGTAAAAGGCAAATAATTTATAAAGATTGGTCATCGCCTACTCCACCTGAGTAATAAATCTGGATTCACTTTAAAGGGTTTGAAGATTAGAATGTGTTTTTCTCTCAAACCTTTAAGTTCAATATACTTAAAACTTATAAATAACAACAATTATAGCTCTAAAAGTAAAAATATATATAAACAAGGACTAAGATGAATCCTAAATCTTTTCAAAGTATGACATGTTATGACATTGTGCTGCTTATAAACTTATATTTTTCCTTCATTGGCATTTTACAGTGGTTATATGGCCCCAGAGTATGCAGTTGATGGGCTTTTTTCAATTAAATCAGATGTCTTTAGCTTTGGTGTTTTGGTGCTAGAGACAGTGAGTGGTAGAAAAAACAGAGGATTTCACCACCCAGATCACTACCATAATCTTCTTGGACATGTAAGTAAGAGCAAACAATTAATTCAAATTGTCACCATTTTGAACTTAAATGAACTTCTCAGGTATGATCTCAATTTTTCAGGCATGGAAACTCTGGATGGCAAACAGGCCACTGGAGCTAACCGACAACACTTTGGGTGACTCTTGTGTGCTGTCTGAAGTGATAAGGTGCATTCATGTGAGTCTGTTATGCGTGCAGCAACAACCAGAAGACAGACCCGACATGTCTTCAGTAATTTTAATGTTAAGCAGTGAGACTTCACTGCCTCAGCCAAAGAAGCCAGGTTTTTTCACCGAAAGGAATCTGCCTGAAGCAGAATTCTCGTCAAGCATTTATGAAGCAATTTCAACAAACGAATGCACCATTAGCATGCTAGAAGCAAGGTAGAAAACCATCATTTAACAGAGACGATTTCTGCAAGTTGTATGTATTAATCAATGGCAATAGCTATAGTCATAGCATCTTGAATAGGAAATAAGCAACTTTCTTGGCAATAATGAAATAAGTCGACTCTTGTATAAACAATTTGAATATTGGTTCTTCATAATGGGTTCCATTATATCTCACCATAACAAGTAGAACTGTGAAGAATAGCAGAATGCGTATTTTATTAAGTATTTTATGTATACAAATTTTTTAGAATACATTAATCATATAAGGTGTATTTTACCCTAATATCCTTTAATCTAATGTACTTTCTTTAAAATTTCCCCTCAAGGTAGAGAATAGATACTATCTATCCCCAACTTATCAATAATAATCTGTAATGCTGAATTACTCAGCCTTTTAGTCATCACATTTGCATGCTGTGAGCTAGGTTAACATATATAGGATACATATTATTGAATACTATACCTTTATCTAAACAAACTTTTTAAAATATATTAATTATATAAAGTGTATGCCCTTCAACCTAATTAGATACTTTTTTTAGCACTTTCCTTCAATTTGGGGAATAAATATTATCCATCCCCAACTCACCAATGATAGTTTGTGATGCTAGATTAATTAAGCCTTCAGTCAACAGATCTACAAGCTGTGAGCCGATAGGCATGTATGAATACATATTAAACCATTATCTGGTTTTACTTTGGTGAAATGTCTATCAACTTTAATATGTTTGGTTCTATTATATTGTATCAGATTATGGACAATGTTAATGGCCAATTTATTGTCACAGTATACGCACATGAGGCTGTCCAACTTAATTTTCAGATCATAGTAATTCACATATCACTTAAGTCATTGCTTGAATTCTAATTTTGTACTCAACCTTGTAATTACATTTTCCTTCTTACTCCTCCAGATAATTAGGTTACACCTAAGGAAGGTATAGTAATTTGTGGTAGATTTTTTGTTTACTAGTGATCCTACGTAGTCTGCATCTACATAAATTTCTAAGAGCAACTTGTTATAAGTATATCCAAACTTACGGGATTGACTATTAAGAGACTTTTGCACATGTTGCAAAAATGAATATAATATGTTTATTATCCTTTGATTAATTGGCAATTGCGATAATTGGATGTAAAAAATATTTTTCTGCATAGAACAATAAAAGAAAAAATCTATATGAAAAACTCTGAGGCTTACTAAAGGGGTAAGGGCAAATAAAGTGTGTAAACTAAGTTTACGAGCTTAAGCAAACACCCAGAACATGTTTTGGAAGGTTTATGAGTGATATTATCCTTGAGATGCGTATAAAATGAGAGAGATAAACAATACTCAAAAAATGATTGTTTAGGGAATTTGAGATTAAAGAATAAAAAAATTTAAAATATTTTCTTGAAATAGAAATAGTCTATTCAAAAATTAAAATATTCATCTCACAGCAAAAATACGCCAATGATTTCTTGAAAGAAACAAATAAGCTTATGTGCAAACCTGTTGGTACCCACCCTGATTGATCCCAACCATTAATAACTAGAACTGGCAGAAGAAGACGATGAAGTTAAAAGGGAGATATACCAAGGACTGATTGGAAAATTAATGTATCTGTCACAAGAAGACTAGATACTATCCATACAGTGAGTGTGATAAGTCAGTTCATGCACAAACTTAAAAAAGTACACTTATAGGTAACATATCGAGTACTTCACCACTTGAAGGGGACATTAAAGGTATTCTATTCAAATGAAATATGTTACTTCTTGAAGCATAATGGACGATTGTACCTTCCTTCGATGGAATCTGATCATGTGGAGAAGTAAAAAACATAATGTGGTAACACTGTCTAATGCAGATTCGGAATTTTGGGCAATGATTCAAGGGATATGTGAGCTTCTATAGCTCAAGATAATTCTAGAAGATTTGAAAATTGTATTTGATGGGTTTATGAGACTTTATTATGACAATAAATCGACAATCAATATTGCTCATAATCCATTGTAACACGACAGAACTAAGCACATTGAACTTGACAGACATTTCATCAAGAAAAGACATAGCAGTAGTTTAAAGCATACACAATATGCGTACACCATCTTACAATTTGCTAATGTATTGACTAAAAGATTGAGTAATCTTCAGTTTTAGACAATTATTGTCAAGTTAGGAATGGACAATATTTATTCAACAACTTGAGAGAAATTGTTGGAAGTGTATCTTAAGTATAACTTGGCTAAAAGACGTATTAATAGTATACCCACACGTGTAATTAGTTATGTGTTTCCATCTATTGTTCATGAGAAGATATATATATGGGTTCCTAATATTCAATGAAATACCAGATATACTATTCTTCCGCAGTTATTAGTGGCACTGGCAATTTTAGCAAAGTCAAATAATGGAAGCTCTCTATCTTCTTTCTCTCTTTCATTGGGGCTAACTTTTTCAGGACTATGAAGGATAGTTCATGCAGAATTCTATCCATAGTGGGAGATTGAACAGCTTTTAAGTTAGAAAAGGAAATAGATAGTTGCTAGATTTGATTACTTGGAAAAACTTGCATGAAGAACCTTTTTTTTTCTGTCCTGAAATATCTCTATATTAAATGGGACACAGTCATTGACAATGTACCTGCTTTCTTTGCTTTCCTTTAATGATTTTGCAACACACATGTAAACCTTGATTGATATTAAGCTTGATTTTGTGCTGGAACTTCAATGGATATCTTTTAAGTGACTTGAGTTCTCCATTCAATTTTATATCGAACACAACTCTTAAAGAAAATTAGAGCTGATGGTCTCCTACCAATTTCTGATGCTGCCATTCTTATGCAATTATCTTGTCCATTTTCCACAAACTGTCTAGTATCTAAATTCAATAGTATGTTGTATAAGAGCAGAGCATAAATGTCACAGTTATCTATCATTGCATGTAAGTATTCCAGATTTGTGTGCAATTAATCCATATGTAATGCTGCAGCAAACCACTAGGATTCAACTGCATCCTTGAAACAATTGAGATATTAATCACCTCATGTTCGTAATATACTTCATCCTCATTGAAAACAAATTCAAATGAATAAATTGAATTTGGCTTCAAATTTTCCATACCAGTGAACCGAAGACCATTCTGTGGCCCAGTCTGGAACTGTTAAACTGATCCTCTCCACACGGTAACCCATTAGGCAAGTTGATTTGTATAATTACCTCTGGAAGGATCATCCAAGCTTTTCCACGAAGTCAGGCCACGATCTAGGCCAGTTACTGAGTTGATTCCACAATTCATGCCAGTATCACCTGGATCAAAACTCTGCCATATTGAATTTTTGGGTCATTCATTTTCATCTCTCAACAAAATTTCCTGTATCCAAAAACTGTGACAGGATTGCTCACTGCTCTTAATGAATTCAAAAACCAAAAAATGTTGTTGGTGCTATTGAGAAGGACAAGGATTCCCGATCAGATAGCATTAGCTCTCCAGATGAATCACCGAGAGGCACCTCTCTGTTGGCGACCCACACAACTGGCATTACTGATATCTTCTTGTACCAGATTCCAAGTAATGATTCTTTGATTTAACCAGGATAAGAAATCCAAGCTTAAAACTCCCATTTGCTGAAACTATGGCTTCACCATCTTTAAGGGATTGTACCTATAATATCAACAGCTGTGGACACAGTTAAGATTGAGAACTAAAAGATAAGCACCTCCAAAACCACCATTTTCTGGCTCCTGTTTTTCTCAACTACTATACCTACATCATTCAAAGAGTTGACAAATTACATGGAGAAACGAGCAACATTATGACACACCATTTAGTTTAGGATAAATCCAGTGCTTGATTGAGTGAATTAAGAAAGGAGAACAATACTGTTCTATTAGTGAAAAGAAATAGTCATTGTCTCAAAGGCAATGCGGCTCTATACGTTTTATCTTCTGTAACCAGAAAATTGCTATTTGATCATTTCAAACTTTTTCGTTTGCAGCTAATAATTCAATTCTGATAAATTTGAATATAAATTTGAATTCGAAGGACACAAATTGTAGATAAAATAAGGCATTAGATAATTTGAAATGCCACAGTCATTGGCTTTTGTTGCAGTTGGAAGATCAAGAACTACATTTAAAGGTCACCCCATTATTAGTTGTAAAGTATTACAAGCCTCCTCCTGTGAGAAAATACTGGATTTGGAATTGATAAAAAGAACGGGAATTACTTCAAAGTTAGGAATTTAAATTGTACGAATCATAGTCTAATTATTATATATTTAAGACTAATAACAAACTAAAAGTTAGAAGTGAGTGAAGAAATAAACCAAATGCAATCTAGATATCCCGGTGAATCTCATGGACAAGCCTACTCACAGTACGTTTTTATTTCTTAGTCCTATCGAGCTAGGGACAAGGCTTGAACAAGAGCCATTTTAGTCCTAGAGAGGGGACAGGATCATCTGATCTATATCCATTGGTCACACTACTTGCATTAAATCCGTGAAGGAAACGCTTCAGCTGATCTTAATTTAACAATACAGAATCTATTGCTTAAAGAAAAGTATAAAATCCACTATCATCTGGTTTTTAGAGCAGCTTTTGGTTTCTTGAAAACTTGCTTGGGATGCAAGTTCTTGGACTCGGGGATGAGATGCTCTCTCATTTATTCTTAGGGCTGGAATCATATTACACCCTCCATATATAATCATGGAGTTTGATAACCTCAGGATACATATACAGATATTTAGATAGCTTTTGAAACTTTGAAACACAAGACCTGTTTTAGTGTCTGTATGTGTCATGGAGCTTAAAATTCTGAATGTTGACTCGAAAACAATTACAGATTCAACCAATAAAGCAACTTTTTTACAATTAAAAAAAAAAACTTTCCTTCGCTAGTCATCCTTAAATAGGCTAAATTAATCCAGTTTGTGCAACCCAAGAATTGATTTTTACATAAGTTAGGAGATAGCTCTCCCCTCCTTAATTTTAGCACATGCAGCACATCTTCTCTCTTTATGATTGTATCAAATATTCTCATCCTCATCTCTATATTGTGTGTATATATATATGGGCAAAATGCCCTCAACACATATATGAATATAATTCACCTCTTCAAACCTATCAGCATATGCATCCAATTACCAACACCAACCCCCCACAAAAAAAAGGTAATAAATAAACAGAATATGAAGGAATTTACAATCATAACCAAGGAGATGTTACTTTGATTACCTGGTCTCTGTTTCTGTGCTCTCAGCCTGTTTGTCTTTTTACCTCATGACTGACCTAACTTCCCCCTTCCTTCCTCTTAACAGGTCTGGTTTTAGCAAAGAAGAACAATCTTCTTGAACTCATATCAAATGGGTCTTGTACTTGGACCGGAACCCAAAACCATTGATCTGTTTAACTGGGCTTCTGAACTTTGGTTCATCTTCACTAATTTGGAGTTGACCAAATAGTCTTGAGTCTTTAAGCCTTCTCAATCAAGATAAGCTTTGACTTCATGGTCAACGGTTCAAACAATTATATCGTCATTATTATTTGCAAATAAAATCATATTTAATAAAAAAAAATGAAAAATTTTAAAGTGGAAATTGGAATTGGAAATAATTATTACAAGTCTATTAATATTTTTTAATCCATGTTATTGTCATGAAAAACAAAGTTGATGTAATAAATAAAGTTTTTGGGTTCTAATAAAAAATAAAGTTTTCAACTTTTAAAAAAATAAAATATTAAGTAAAACAAAGAAATTTTTATTTTATATTTTGCAATCACATAAAAAAAATTATGGAAAATAATTTATTAAATTTTTAAAGATTAAAATTACTGAGAGAATTTTTTTTTTTAAAATGTATATATATATATATATATATATATATTTGGTTGAATTTGTCGTTTCTATATTGCCTTTATCAAAAAAAAAAAAAGTCCTCCAAACACCTGTTTTCTTAATAGCCTCGAGAAAATTCCAGGCATAGGGTACCTTCCTGCTTGTGGAATGACGCTTCTACCCCTCATCCATGCCTTCCTCCCCAAGTTCTTTCCAGTAAAATGACTGTTTTGCCCATGCACAACCTTCCCAGAAAGAAACCCCAAAGAATCAGTTCCAAGAATTTGGACCTTCGCGTCCCTTACCTGTATCTTAGTTGGCTTCAATGCCCCTCTCCTTCTCGGAAATCTCAATTCCTCCATCTTTATATTCACCATTGTTCCCCTCCTCCTCCGTCTCATCTCATCTCATCTCTGCACTCGCTTTTCCCAAAAACCTTCATCTTTCTCTGCAACTTACGGCTTCTGTTTTGTCCTTTCAATGGCGTCGCAATCATCCACAGCATCAAACCAACAGAACCCCTCTCCGAATTTCCACGATTTCTTGCCTCTCATGGCGAACAAGCTCGGCGGGGACGCTCTGATTGGGGAGCTCTGCAACGGATTCAATCTCCTGATGGACGCCGACAAGGGGGTCATCACGTTTGAGAGTCTGAAGAGGAATTCTTATCTGTTAGGGTTGCAAGATTTGGCGGACGACGATCTGCGGTGTATGTTGAAGGAAGGTGATCTCGACGGAGATGGCGCTCTCAATCAGATGGAGTTCTGCGTGTTGATGTTCCGGTTGAGTCCTGAGTTGATGGAGGCTTCGAGGTTTATTCTTGAAGAAGCTCTCGAACAGGAATTCATGGATTATTAGCTGATGATTTGATTGGATAATTGTTGAATTATACAGGAAGAACAAAAAAAAAAAGAATATTTCGAAAGATTTTCCCTTTGTCTGATCTCTTGTTCATTCACTAACTCATTTATTCTTGTTTAATATGAGAGGTTGAAAGAATTGCAGTCAACTCATTTATTCTTGTTTAATATGAGAGGTTGAAAGAATTGCAGTCTTACTGAAATTAAATTTTCCAGAGATTATTATCTTCTTGGTAAATGAACTTAAACTTGCAAGCCAATCTTCTCCTGAATGCAAATTTATATGTTGAGAAAAAGCATATGGTCGGGTCACATTGAAGAGAAACTGGTCTGGTCAGTTCACTGTTATTATATACATATGTTGTTCAGCCTTTGCCAAGATCTAAGAGAAGTTGATCCCAATACAGGACATCCTCATGCATGTCGCACAAGTAGATTACTTGCCGAATCCTTGAGCCAGGCTTCTCCAAATTTTGAATTGCTTGGAGCTTTTCTTAAACAAGTAGTCTATTGGCTTCATGGCAGGCTTCTCTTTTTCAGCCTTTGGGATTGGGATTGGGATTGGGATGGTCTGTATTCAGGACTTGTTTGGTTGAGAGATGGGTCAGGCAAGATTTTGGGAAATAGAGGAAATTAAGGGCTTGAGAGCTGGTTAAAGATAAACTCTTTTTATAATGTCTTCACTTAATACTTGTGAGGAAAGAGAAGTCGTAGAGGCTGACTGACTGACTGACTTGGAGAGCTATTGGTGTCGCTGAGTACAGGCAGGTTTGGGGGATTGCCCTGCTTGTTAGGGGATGTTAGTATGAATTCTAAAGGAAGGATAAGTTTCTGTTTTTTACACAAAAATTATTTCATCCACTATAATTTTCAAACTTTCCATACTTAAACACTATATAGTACTGATAGCCATAAATATTATATAATTTTTAAATAGCGATAAATAAACAAGTCTATTGCTGTTTATATATAAGTTATAAATTGTTATGTATCAGTATTTTTTTTTAATGCAATGTTTTTTGTTCCGCAGCAGCAGTAGGTAGTCATAGCGTTAGAATAATTATGTGCAACATGTAATCCCAAGTCGAGAGTCAAAATTATTTTTATAGAAAATACTAGGATTACTGGTGTAGTATTAATTTCGACTAAATGAAAGTACAACCGAAATAAATAAAACTCTTGACTACAAGTTCGTCGATTAGAAATCTTTATTTACAATAATTATTTTATTAGTTGGCGGATCACTAATCTTCATGCATCGATTATTATTCAATTTTTATCGATTCTTATATGAACATTTAGTCTTTGTTTACTAATCATTAATTATTAATAGTTTATCTTAAAATTAATATTAAAGTATAAAAGTTAATACGTAAATAAAATTTGTCCTATTAACCGACAAAACACAGAAAAACTATCATAAAAATATTCTGGGATCAAAATCCATCTATTCAAGATCTTTGATGGAGTTAAAAGTGACTTACCCATGAATTGGTGATATTATAGTCAACAAGATTGCTTCTTTAATCTTCAATCTCCATTGAAAAGTTGGCCTTTCGGTAAAGACCGGAGTGTCGTGTACTAAATTACGATCCATGCATTTAATAACACAACGAAACCAAGATTGAGACTTGACACAACCAAATTTAATCAAACGTTTCCAACTACCAACTCACCATGGCGTCCATTCGAGTCAAAGTCTCGTGTGTTCCAACTCTATCTACTTGCATGTTCACTCTTCTCTCTGGTGAACAGAAAGAACTCAGAGAACCGGGAGACTAGTAATAATGGAGATTCTTTCTAGAGCATTTCCCTGTACGGCTTTCTTCATTGTCCTCGTCTTCTTCAGATTGTCTGCTGCGGTTGATATCATCTCTGCTTCACAGACTCTTGCAGATGGCGAGACCTTGATTTCCAGACAAGGAAAATTCGAACTGGGTTTCTTCAGTCCTGGAAGTTCCAAGAACAGGTACGTCGGAATTTGGTACAAGAACATCCCCGACAGGACAGTCGTCTGGGTCGCCGACCGGGAGAATCCCATCAACGATTCCTCCGGCATCCTGAAAATAACCAACCAATCATCGTCACCAAATATTGTGCTTCTCAGCCGCAACGATACTGTAATTTGGTCTTCCAACTTGACGAAAGAAGTTCAGAGTAATTCTCCATTAGTGCTGCAACTCTTGGATAATGGAAACCTTGTCTTGAAAGAAGAAGATGATGGGAATTCAGAGAATTTTTTATGGCAAAGCTTTGATTATCCGACTGATACATTGTTGCCAGAAATGAAGCTTGGGTGGAACTTGAAGACTGGTCTAAACCGACGTTTATCCGCCTGGAAAAACTCAGATGATCCAGCTCCTACAGATTTCACTTGGGGGATTGCGCTGCAAGAAAATCCTGAGTCGATCATATGGAAAGGCTCAAAGAAGATTTATCGAAGTGGTCCATGGAATGGAATTGGCTTTAGTGGAGCACCCGAATTAAGGTCTAATCCAGTTTTTGGATACAGTTTTGTAAATAATGATGAAGAGCTTTACTACATGTATTATCTCAAAGATGAAGTTATGTTGTCAAGGATTGTTATGAACCAAACAACGGGTACTCGAGAGCGATATACATGGATTCAATCCTCGAAAACTTGGATGGTTTACACATTTGTACCGCGAGATCAATGTGATAACTATGGCCAATGCGGTGCCTATGGGAATTGTGTCATTGGTCAGTCACCAATTTGTCAGTGTCTGCGTGGATTCAGGCCTAAAGTGTCTGAAAAATGGGACATAATGGATTGGTCGCAAGGGTGTGTTCGAAAGAGGCCACTGGATTGCAAGAATGGTGATGGGTTTGTCAAGTTTGATGGGTTGAAGTTACCAGATGCTATGAATTCTTTTGTTTACCCAAGTATGAACCTGAAAGAATGCAGGGCAAAATGCTTACAGAATTGTTCTTGTACGGCTTACACAACTGCGAATATCAGCGGACATGGTTCTGGCTGCACTATGTGGTTTGGTGAGCTAATTGATTTCAAGCAGTTTGCAAATGGAGGACAGGATCTGCATATCAGGATGTCGGCTTTGGATTCAGGTACTTTTATACAAAAAACTTAAGTTTGTATGAAAGTATCAACCAATTCATGCACAAGCCTAAAATGAACTGGTTCTATTGCCATGTCGAATAATTGATTTGATTACGATTTAATTTAGTTTATTATTATACATCAATATTTTGAACTGAGGAGTTTGGCTCGAATTGATTCTGATTATTTGTAAAGATGATATGGAATCAGCACGGGACGGGAAGAAGATTACAGCAATAGTAATTGTTTCAGTTATAATCATAATTGCTGGGATAATTGGAATTGTCTATTATCTTCACAAATTCAAGAAATACTCAAAAGGTAATTAATGTTAATATTCCAATCTCCTTCTTAAATTTATTTAATTGGTTCAAACGAAATCAGACGTGTTCAAACTACTAAGAAAGTTTTCTTTGAAATGATTACAGTTTCAATCTACCATCTAATTATTTCAGATAAGGGTAAGACAGAGAAGATTGAAGAAAATGATCAGGAAACTCGAGACCGAAAAGAAGACATGGAGCTTCCATTATTTAACCTGGACACTCTAGTTACTGCTACTAATGACTTCTCAATGGATCACAAGCTAGGAGAAGGTGGCTTCGGACCCGTGTACAAGGTAAACAATTATGAGATTTATCAATCCGATCGTATATCACCTTAACTGAACTACATAAATTCTCTGTGTACTTTACCTTTCTGTTTCAATATGCTTGCATAATATATCATATCGACAAACACTCTAAATTTTACACATTATCTTGCAGGGTATGCTAGTAGACGGACGAGAAATTGCTGTGAAAAGGCTCTCGAGGAGCTCCGGTCAGGGACTAAACGAGTTCAAAAATGAGGTAAAACTGATTGCCAAACTTCAACATCGAAACTTGGTGAAGCTTCTTGGATGCTGTATTCAAGGGGATGAGAAAATGCTGATCTATGAATACATGCCCAACAAAAGCCTGGATTCTTTCATTTTCGGTCAGCATCATAAACTGCAAATAAACTTTATATTTAGCTAAATTCTGTGTTTGTTTTGCAAACAAGTATCTTACACTAACGACGAGGAACTTGTCAGATAAAACAAAAGGCAAGTTATTGGATTGGTCCTGGCGTTTTCAAATAATCTGTGGCATTGCTAGAGGACTTCTCTACCTCCATCAAGATTCGAGATTGAGGATCATCCATAGAGATCTGAAAGCAAGTAATATTTTACTCGACAAGGAGATGAACCCAAAAATTTCAGATTTTGGCTTGGCTAGAACTTTTGGTGGAGACCAAAGTGAAGGAAGTACAAAAAGAGTTGTCGGCACCTAGTAAGTGATGCTTATCATGCCTTTTAAATCATTTTGTACTCATTTTGTGAAGGTACTTGTCCAAATTAACAATCTTCTGCAGTGGTTATATGGCACCAGAATATGCTGCTGATGGGTTGTTCTCAGTGAAATCTGATGTTTTTAGCTTTGGTGTACTATTGCTTGAAATCATAAGTGGAAGGAAAAATAGAGGGTTTTATCATTCAAACCATAGTCATAACCTTATTGGACATGTAAGTGCATATTGAAATAAGTTTTTTTTTTTTTTTTCGACATGCATATGTCGAAATGATAATGACGAAAGGGATTTCTTATTTTCCCAGGCATGGAAACTGTGGAAAGAAGGCAAGCCTTTGGAATTAATTGATGAGGTGTTAGGAGAAACCTGCAATTTCACTGAAGTGACTAGATGCATAAACATTAGCTTGTTATGTGTGCAGCAGCATCCTGAGGATAGGCCAAACATGGCTTCTGTGGTACTGATGTTAGGCAGTCAAACTGAATTGGCTCAGCCTCAGCAACCCAGTTTCCTTGTGGAGAAGAGTATTGTTGGATCAGATTATTCTTCGGGCAAGCAACAAGACTTTTCTTCGACAAATGAAATTACTGTCACACTTTTGACCCCACGATAGAGAACTCTCGTAAAAAAAATTGGCTTCCCTGATTATGCAGATAATCTCTTTGTTAATTTGCATGTATAACCAATAAGGTTTATTTCTGGTGATTAGTTTTTCTTTCTTTACATTTTATTGCTGATGTTAAGAATTGGGGAAATGGGAGAAGGAATGGTAATATATGTTGTATTGAGCTAATTAGAAGTATGTCACTTTTTGCTACAAGTGTATCTTAGATCTCACAGGATTAAATACATATGTATTGAGGAGCATCCCTTTCCTCCAGCGCTCTATACATATGTATATTTTGGTGTCTCTGAGGCTCGAGTTAGAGAAGGAGAGAAAAACATTATAATTTGCAGAATCATTCACAATGAAACTAAATTCATCCCTCACATAGAGTATATGAACTTGACTGAATCACGTAATATTTCCCGTCTGTTTGCTTTTCTACTTTTGGTTTGCTTGTTTCTTTTCCAAGTCACCACTTACTTTTATCATGGATTCGATGTAGATGGATTAGTTGCCTGCGACGAAGGAAAGAAAATTCGGCTACCTTAAACCAACGGGAATTAAGTATATCTCTTGGCTTCATCCTGAATGTGAAACTGAAAGCAATCTATGAAAGAAATTGCGGCAACATTTGTGGAGTATCAAAAGCTAATGCTGAAACATATAAATAATAATTAAAACCCATAATTCTTAAACCATCATATGATCATATAAATGATAAGAGGTCTTGTGTTTATATCAGTAGATTTACACAAACCATTAAACTAATGCAATAAAGAGGCAAACCAAACAAAGAAAATGAACATATGGTGAAGTTTTTTTCTTGACATATTTCTAACTTTGAATTTTCCAATGTGAACCGGGGGAAATTTCAACGACGTTGGTGACCAAATGTGTTCTGCTGCGGGCCACACAGCTGCTACCTGCCCAAGTTATTGCAAAAGCGATTGCTAGCTGACAAAACCAGAATTAAACAGCACAAAAAGCTGAAACATCTTTGTACGAAAGGAAAATTTTTATACTTATCTGTATATTGTGGAGCCAAGATTTTCGTGAATCAGCTGGGTGCATTTACTAGCTTTGCCTTGCCAAACTCGGTTAGCTAAATTCCAAGCTTGAAGCTTTTTTTTTCTAAACATAAGTATAGATTTTGATGAATCTGAATTTAGTGTGAAGAATTTTAATAATTATCATGTGTTTTTATCTCTCAAACCCGAATCTGAAATACACCCTAATCCTAAACATAGCCTGCTAATCGGTTTTGAAACATATATGTATATAGAAATCCTTGGTAAACACTGTAATAAGGTGAATAAAATGTAATTTCAATTTATTAGAGAAGAAAGTTGGAGGGACCGCATATTAAATGTATTTTCTTTTTCCTGCTGGACTGAATTTTTCTTTGGGTCATGACTTGTATGCCTCTGTCTACTTTCTCTATTGTTTCATGAACTTTGTAGATCATCCTCTCTGTATAAGCTATCAACAGCCTGTGTTTAGGACTCTTTACTGGCAAATAGTCATGGTAGAGAGTTTATTCAACTGATTTTTTTGCCGTTCTTCATTGTTGGTGCCATGTTGAGCTATGCAGATCTGGTGGAATCTGCTATGAATTCTGTCAAGCAAAGAGCTGAAAAGACGAAACACCGATGGCCGCTTTTTGTCTGTTTGTTATTGGTATTATAGGTTTCTTTGCCTTCCTCCCTATTTTTTCTACTGCACAGCTACACAGTGTATCTGCATCACAATCTCTCAATCACAACCAGACATTAGTCTCTCCAGGAAGAAGATTTGAACTGGGTTTTTTCAGTCCTGGTAGCTCCAAGAACCAGTATCTTGGAATATGGTGTAACATCCCAGATAAAACTGTTGTTTGGGTTGCTAATAGAGTAAACCCAATCAATGATTCTCCTGGTTTGCTGACTATAAACAGTGCTGGAGATCTTCTGCTTCTCAGCCATGATAACAGGACTGTAATTTGGTCGTTGAACTTGACGAAACAGGTTGAGAGTCCTCCTATCTTGCTTCTCCTGGATTCAGGCAATCTTGTTTTAGGACATGACAGAGACATCAATTCAGGAATCTACCTGTGGCAAAGCTTTGATTACCCCACAGATACTTTGCTGCCAGGGATGAAGCTGGGATGGGATCTGAAGACAGGCCACAATCGTGTTGTAACTTCATGGAAAAGCCCGGATGATCCAGCACCAGGAGACTTCAGTTGGGATCTAGACTTGACTAACTACCCCCAATCAATTATGAGAAAAGGATCAGAGAAGTACTACCGTGGAGGACCCTGGAATGGCATAGGATTTAGTGGTGTGCCTGCATTGAAACCAAATCCAGTTTTCAACATCATATTTGTTTCTAATGCAGATGAAGTGTACTATACTTATGAACTCAGAAACAAATCTGAATTTTCAAGAATTGTAGTGAACCAAAGTAATTATAAGGGTCAGCACTACCAATGGAGAGAAGAGTCTTCAGGTTGGGTTATGTTTGCAGAGTTTCCAAGAGAATCTTGTGACAATTATCGCACTTGCGGCATCAATGGAAACTGTAATCCTGGTGGGATTCCATTTTGCCAATGTTTCAAAGGGTTTGAGCCTAAATCACTGGAGAGTTGGAACCAGTTGAACTGGTCCGAAGGTTGTGTTCGTCGTAAGCCATTGGACTGCAAGAATGGAGATGGATTTATTACATTCAGTGGGTTGAAAGTTCCAGATACCACAAATTCTTATCTAAACACAGCTTTAGATCTCAAGGAATGTGGGGAATTATGCTTAAGGAATTGTTCTTGCATGGCATATACAAGCTCAAATATTAGTGGAGAAGGTAGTGGCTGCGCCATGTGGTTTCATGATCTAATTGATATTAGACAGTTTCTATCCGGTGGGCAGGATCTATATGTTCGAGTATCTGCTTCTGAAATAGGTAGGAGATTTGGATACTTTCACTTATGCTATGCAAGATAATAGAGTTAGAACCAATTATTTAAAAACTCAAGGTTGATATGAAACATCTTATGATCTTGTCCTGATTTTTCCTGTTAAAATTCCTTCTGTTTATATTGAAAAGACATTTGATCATATGATGTATAACTATATGTTTGCTTTGGTACATCACTAGAGGGGAAAACGTGGCCTAAAGTTCGGAAATCAATCATAATCAGCTGTGCAGTTGCTGTGGCTGTGGCAATTCTCGTAGCTGCCTACTGCATTCACAAAATTAGAACAAAGGAAGTAGGTAAGAAGAATAGCAGCTTCAACAAATGATCCCTATAGAAATTTTAGTAATTCTGGTCTTTTTTGAGTGCTTCAGAGAAAAAAGGAGTTAACTTGGAAATTGATGAGAGCAATCAAGGAAGAACAGATGACATGGACCTACCATTGTTTGATCTGGCTACAATAGTTAACGCCACTGATAACTTTTCAATTGATAACAAGCTTGGAGAAGGTGGTTTTGGTCCTGTTTACAAGGTAAATCTGCAATAACTAAAGTGTTTGAAACTTAAAAGCTTAGTGAAATAAAAATTTAATAAGATCTTTGGCAATGTATTTTGCAGGGTAGACTATTAGATGGACAAGAAATTGCTGTGAAGAGACTGTCAAGGAGCTCGAGACAGGGACTTGTCGAATTTAAGAACGAAGTAAAACTTATTGCAAAACTTCAGCATCGGAATCTTGTAAAACTTCTTGGTTGTTGTGTTCAAGGAGACGACACAATGTTGGTCTACGAGTACATGCCCAACAAAAGCCTGGATTTCTTCATCTTTGGTTTGTATACTTAAAAATCTTGGAGCTGAAGTTATCTTTAGAAAATTAGCTAAACGGAAAATGTGTGAAACTTGGCAGATGAAAAAGGAGGTAAACTCTTGGATTGGTCGAAGCGATATCAAATTATTTGCGGAATCGCTAGAGGACTTTTATATCTTCACCAAGATTCGAGATTGAGGATTATTCATAGAGATCTGAAAGCAAGCAATGTGTTACTCGACGAGGAGATGAGGCCTAAAATTTCAGATTTTGGCATGGCTAGAACTTTTGGAGGGGACCAGACTGAAGGAAACACCAATAGAGTGGTTGGAACTTAGTAAGTGTCATTTACACCTGCTTAATTATATCATATCTCTTCTAAAAAAAGTTTATGTTAAAATATTTTTGCAGTGGTTATATGGCACCAGAATATGCAATAGACGGACAATTCTCTATAAAATCCGATGTTTTTAGTTTCGGAATATTATTGTTGGAGATAATTAGCGGACAAAAGAATCGAGGATTTTATCATCAACATCAAGGCTTTAACCTTATCGGACATGTAAGTCCTCAAGTCTCCAAAGTTACAATTTCATATCTTACACGAAAATATTTTCGAGTTCTTTCTTTCTGAATTTATGATTATTCATGCTTATTTTTATTTGTCGAAACACGTAAATATTACATATTTTAAAATTAATTAAAATATAAACTTAAAAAAACTTCTAAAAAAAATACTAAAAACAATATATTAAATTTTTTTTTTTAATTTTTTGAAATCAAGACACTTGTAATTCTTTTGTTTGAGTGTTTGTTAGGCTTGGAGACTGTGGAAAGAAGGGAAGCCATTAGAGCTTATTGATCCTTTATTAGGAGAGTCATGTGTTGTATCGGAGGTGACAAGGTTCATCCACATTAGTCTCTTGTGCGTGCAACAACATCCAGAAGATAGGCCAACCATGTCGTCTGTTGTGCTAATGTTGAGCGGCGAGAGTGACTTGCCGGAGCCTAACCAACCCGGTTTTCTCCTCGGGATGAGCAAGATTTCTTATCAAGCCAAGTCTACATCAACTAATATCGACTCATCTTCGACTAATGAGGTTACTATTACACTCCTTGAAGCTCGATAAACAACGTTAATTCAGTTCATTTCATCAGCTTATCTGGTGAAGAATGTGCGAAGATATACCATATAATTATTGACTAAAGAATCCATTAGTTGTGGTTCTTTATTCATTACTTGTCTCTCAAAAAATCATACAACGATATTAACCAGCTGAAGATTTTGATTTCTTTTCTTTAGCAAAGTTGTAGCGAGGTTCCAATAAATTTTTTTTTTTTTTAGTTACAACGGGAATAAATTACATTGATCGAATTGGAAAAGAATATATGTTGAGTAATTGATATAAATATAGATCGAATTAACTTAATTATACATCAAATATGTAAATTATAATTAAATTTAAATTATCATATACTCAAAATTTAGAAATTAAATACACTTTTAAAATCATTCCAAGAATTTCTATGCACCGAAAAAGAAAAGAAAAAAAAAAAAGAAGAGTAATTGATGCAAAGAAGAAAGTTGGGTCAAGACATAAAAGGTGGTAAACGAAAGCTTCTCAATCTCCATGCCTGGAAAGAGGTTGAAGTCTACCATCTATCAGCTTACACGTTTTGTCTTTCCGCATTCAACCAGGTGTTTACACTTTGGGTTATACATACACATTGTGCAGGTCCAAATTAGCGGCCACCCACTAATAGAATTTTATGTTTATGATTTCTATTATCAACTAACAAAAAAAATTTCTTCTCGTTATGATTAAGTTTATAAAATTAACACCCCTTACGAGTTTTAATAGACTAATCAACTCATTTTTAGACGTAATATATATTGTATATTATCACGATTTTCGTTCATAATTTCGATCAAAGAAAAGAAAAAAGATAATAGAAAAAAAAGAGAGATGGATTACTTTGAGAGAAAAAATAATATATACTTCAATACTTTCAATGAGTAAAAATTGAAAATTGGAAATCGAAAATCAGAAATTTCCCGAGTAAAAATTATGATCGTTTTATATTTTTCTATTTCAACTTTTACTTGATGTTAACCCTTAGTTGCATGGTGTAATAATAGAAAAAATACAACTACTATTGTACAATCTTTACCCTTAATTCCTTAAATAGATATATACATATATATATATATACCCATATATAATATAATCTAACATATTGTAAATGACCCATATTGTTTGTAGTTAATGATGTAAGTAATACCAATTAATGATGTAACTATTGCCTCTCACTTAAAGTAAAATAATAAAATAAACTTTGGGAAGAAGTAAAGAAGATTGAAGAATTATGGAGATGGAGAGGAGTAGAGGAGAAATTACTCACACATTAATGGAGGGCCTCCCTTCTCTCGTATGAAATCATGAAGAAGGTGATGATGATTGTGAAATATAGCTTTCTCATAACTCAAGAAAATTCTACCACCCTCTCTCTCTTTTTACTTTTTAAAATAATAAAACTATATATATATATATATATAACTTTATTTATTTTTTTTAAGAAAATCCTTCACCAATATACCTCAAATGCTAGCTTTTGTTAGAGAGAAATTCAATTTTATGGAATTAAGTTATGGGATGTTTGGTTCGTGAAATTTATAATGAATTTTCAAAAATAAAACTTTATATTATAATGTAAAGTAATAATTTCAATAATATTTTCTCAAATTACTCCTTATAATTTCTTAAATTTAACCCATAATTTTTATTTATTTTTATTTTTTTTGGATTTCTTTAATATTTTCATTAACATCCTCAAGTAACCAAATTGTTCTAGGACAATTTATGCACATATATAGACATTTATGGATATCTCTATATATATATATATATATATATATATTGGTTCTCAAAAAAAAAAAAAAAAACAAAATTATTTATATTCTTGTATTGTTAGGTGAGGACACACCAATTGATTCAAGTCTTACGTGTTGAATTCTTTATTATTTTCCACATTAATAATAATTTAATGTTGGACCATGCAAACTTTTTTGTATCATCAAAAATGGAATAAATGCGAGTTTGATTTTGTTTTTTGTTTTTTGTTTTTTTTTTGACCGAAAAGATAATTTTGCTTTCACATTAGCGGCCTTGTAATTTGTAAATTTATTTTGTAAAATAATTTATTTATACACAAATTTTTTTAAATACACTAAATTAGTTACATAATTAAAAAAAAATTAGTCTCAAAATTAAAATATATTCTTATAACTCAAGATAGAAACTAATTAAATGTTAAATGTTAATGTCAATTTTTTATATTTTAATTATTTTATATATCAATCCCTCACTATTCACAATAAATACATATATTATTTTATCATTTGTTAAAATCTATCAATAAATTATTAGAAAATTGAGAAAAATATCACAAGTATTCAAAATACAAAATAAAACTACTATACAAAAGAGAAAACCATATTAGAGAATTTCGTAAGAAGCCAAAACAAATCTATATATTAGTGTATAATTTTATTATTTATCAAAATCTATCGATAAATTAAGAAAAAATATGAGAAAAACATTTCAAATTTTTTGAAATATAAGAAAAAATTGTAGTAAAATTTTATTATTGACTCACTAAAATTTTTTTTAAAAATATAAGATATTTATATTTCGTATAAAATAAATACACATATATAATATGTTTTTACCTCCATATTTTCTCTACGAATTTAATGAAACATAGTGTTTTTGAACTTTGGGCACATAACCCATTTCTCTTTGACCCCAAGTCCATTAATATTACTAAATTTAAAAGGAATATTAAATAAAAAAACATAATAAATTTCATTATTTTTGTTAATTACAAAAATCATTTTATCCCAACAAAAAAGGAAAAGGTCCACGCGCCCCCTCCAATTTGTTTTCAAAAAAAGAAATCTCCATTTATATCAGCATACACCCTTTGATACGTCACACGTTTTGTCCTTTTCTTTATACCAAAAAGTCAAACGCCATCAACCAATGAACTGTCGAATTCGTCAATCACTGGGACTCAAATAATTGGACCCCAAATACCATGACTACATCCAATCAAGTTTTTTTTCCCACATCTTCCTCAAATCGACGGCTCACATGCATTGACCGTGGATTAGTCAACAAACGCCGTCAGCTCCCCGTTCGCGTCGTCGTATCGGACGCACCTAATTTGTCCTCAGATTTCTCTTTGTTATGCTGGGATACACCCGGTACGAACTCCGAATAACAAATATAATATTTTGTTGTTAAAACGACATCTTCTAGAGAATTAAACTCTGGCTTGCAGCGTACATGATGATGAGCGTGACAACACCATATCATCATTAATCATTTTAATAAATAAATAATAAATTATATTTTGTTTCACGACAGTTATTATTTTTAAAACTGTATTTATTAATTATTATTTAATATAATAATAAAGTAATAATTTATAAATGATTTTATTTTTTAATTTAATTTTGGCAAACTGTATTTTAACCCCAAAAAAACGTCATCTACAGAAACAGTACCAACTCTCTTTTTTGTTTTGCAGAGTACAAACTACGACCAACCTGTAAACTAAACGCCGTCGTTTGAGGACGTAAGCCTGTTCAAAAAATCAGGCGTTGATCCCTGGATCAGAAGCTTACTAACCAAATCCATTTCTGCGACTATAAATAGCCCCTTGGCTCTCGTTTTTAATCCTCAACGGTTACAGAAAACCAAGTAAAGAAACGAAGAATACGCGGTGACCACTAACGACTCTCTCCCTCATCAATGGCAACCAAAGTGTATATTGTGTATGTCTCTCTCTCTCTCTCTGTCTCTCTCTCGCTCTCGCTCTCTCGCTCGCTAGCTGTGGTTTCAGCGAACTGTCAAATTTGATTCTCAACTCTGTTAATTATGGTGCTTCGATTATTTGAGTTCTTTTATCCTGTGCAAATAGCGGATCGGTTTATGATTTGATCTATTTTCCTATGATTATGTGTTTTCTCGACTGTACAGTGAATACTGTAATTAGAGAGATCGACTCTTTGTTTTCATTGAGCTTCTAGCTAGGGCTGTCGATGCATTTCTGATTGAATTCAACGTATAGCGTTTTTATTCTTCTTTTTGGACTCTGTACATGCATTTAATTGCAGATTTGTTAATTTAGTAAGTTCTTCACTGATTCTTTGATGATAAAATATTTGGTGATATGGCAAATATTGGAAATAGGAACCGCGAAACGGTTTGAATTTAGATTTTTTATTGACTAAGCCTGATTCAACTATTCAGATAAATAGTTTACTGTAAGGAAGGAGGAAAAAGATTATTAGGAGGTTTAAATTGGTAATCTACTTTTTTCCATGCTTTTTATCACGGGGAAGGGACAAATCACTGCGTTTGTCATAATCAAGTGGAGTCTAGCGAGTAAACTGAAAATCGAGAAATATTTTTGCCGCTTTTGTTTTTTTCGGTTTTACTTCGGTGTTTAATATTTTTATGATTATTTATACTCGTGGATGTAATAGGGGTTGGAAGTGTTGACCACTTTCCTTGTAGATTTTGAAAAATTATTTTTAAGAATTATTTGGTCAAATGATATGTTGGCAGCGACGGTAGTGGCCAAATTCTTGAAAACTAGTTCCGGTTTGGCTTTGAATCAAACACTTGCTTGTACTTCCCAACATTTGACTCATCTGAACTTATGAAAACTCATGCATTTTATACAACTAAGCAACTGTTCAACAAAAACTAAATTTTAGCATCATATATTATAAACCTCATTATGATTTTCATCAACCTTTTCTCTATATCCTGCAAGCATTGGCTATTAATTTATAAAAGGATTAATAGCTTTATAATTGTTAGAAGGCTTTACAAATCTTATACTGCTTTTGCATGCTTGCTGTTGATTACAGGGTGGTAGTTCATTAGGCAGCGACTTTAGATTGTGGAGAGATAATTGACCATCAAGTTTAATTTCACCGCTCTAACTGACTCTTCAAGATGCATGAATATATTCATGTTAGAGATGACAGCTTTATTGTCCGCACGGGGTATTTTCTGAGATGCATATAGGCCAAAGAGAAAGAAGGTCTTCTCTTAAACAGCAAAAAGGAAAGGATCATATTAGAGGTTTCCTTAAGTGGCATACCTAGGAGAGTACATTAAGCTATTTTTCCATAAGTGGCATAAATAGGAGGTTACTTTAAGCTATACCAGAAGAATTGTTGGGGAGTTCTTAAATCAGCTAATGTTGATCTTTGAGTGCTTCATACTTTGCATTATTAATGCTGAGAACCACCCTTGTATCTACCATTAAAAATTTTGATCAAAGTGGCAATGGCACCTACTATACCCTCAATATTGTAGCAACGGTAGCATTGAATCTCTGTGACAAGATTCATGTGGTGTGAACAAAATTCAATAGTACTGGTTTCCAGTTTTATTTCTTGAGAGATAATGGATTCCTTTTCTTTCCCCCTGCAACTTGGATTTGTATTATAAGTACAGGATGCTGATGAGGCTACTAAAGTTACAGTATTCTGTTCTTTACTAGTCCCCATATAATCTTGTACAAATAAGTTTTACGGAGCTAGTAGTAGAGTTCTTTTGAAGATTTTGGCTGTAACTATTTTATTAAACTGGTTGCTCTGTTACATGCATGTGCTGCTGACAGCCCGCGTTCTGTTTTATATGTATCTGATTTGACTTGATTAAAAATCTGTCTAATCTTTAAGGTTGTTCATAGATTCTTTTATTACGTTTTCTTTCTTAAATTAAAATCATTTTCATATTTGGCTCAGTTCTTGTGCATGCTTTGCTGCTATAGAGCATATATTCTAACTCCTTGTTCTGGTACAGGTACTATTCCATGTATGGACATGTAGAGAAATTAGCAGAAGAGATAAAGAAGGGGGCTGCATCAGTTGAAGGTGTTGAAGCCAAATTATGGCAGGTAAGAGTGTTTATCACAGGTCGTTGGTAATTTATTAACTGTGTGGTTTGATATTCCATTCTGGCTGGTTGGTACTGTAAACTTCTTGCAAGTAATATTCTGTTTAGTGTGGAAGAAAGCCTTCCCCTTTCCAAGAAAGTAAAAATGAAGTAAAATCTGTATCAAGCACCCAAATATGAGAAGGTAAACCTTATCTAATGTCTTATCGATGAAAAGGAATTTACAATTTGTTAGATTCCTTGGATTTGAACCCTGAGAATCAATAGGAATAGAAAAATAAGAAAAATTAGCATTAAACAGGAGAGACTAGTGAGTTTATGAGAAGTAGAGGAGCAATTAGAGAGAATCTGGAGAATCAGATATAGATCTCTCGATTTATTCATTCAAGATTTTACATGATGGAATATAAAACCTATAATGAGCATATTATCTGATTTCCTCGTATCGAAGCAGCAACGGAATTGCTGACTCATCAAGCAGAAAATAGAAATATAACAAGGCAAGGAAAACTGCAAAGTATTCCTCTAAACTAATTGCGATCAGTCATTTATTAGATGATGACAAAACACAAAGTGACGTACCCCTTTTTGATATCAGTCATGCTCATTGTTCATATGTTATCTAAGCTGTTTGAAGACAGAGGCAAAGTGAAAGCGATTGTTTCCATCCAAGAGTCCATACTCACCCGTGCTGTTTTTGTGGCCCCTTCTATCCTCTTTGAGCGTCCCATTTGAATTCCTCAAATCAGGTGCAATTGCCCCTACATGATTTACAACTCTGTACCTCTTTTAAGCCTTCTTGTCCTAACCCATTTAACCTTGCCTCTATGAATTTGCACCTGTTGAGTTGGTGAACAGTTTGCAATGTAAGCTTTTGTGAATGTTCTCTCTGAATTTTCCCATTTGTCTATACTTTTTGTACTGCTTAAAACTTTGCATAAGCAAGAAATATTTGGTTGGCATATCAACGGATGTTTCACTTTTTTAGAGGAAATTTTGCTATCCAAGTTGGTATTCGTGGCTCTCTAAAGTAAAAGGTTCTTTCAGATGTGTGTTTCATTCTGAATTTTCAATCAGTGTTCGAAGTACCTAAACCAATTTGTGTGTGTGAAACAGGTACCAGAAACACTTTCAGATGAGGTGCTTGGGAAGATGAGTGCACCACCAAAGAGTGACGTACCCATCATTACCCCAAATGAACTTGCTGAGGCCGATGGGTTGATTTTTGGCTTCCCTACAAGATTTGGGATGATGGCTGCACAATTCAAAGCATTTTTGGATGCAACTGGAGGTCTGTGGAGGACACAGCAGCTTGCGGGAAAGCCTGCTGGCATCTTCTATAGCACTGGATCTCAAGGTGGCGGACAGGAGACAACTCCGTAAGTTCCCGAATTTCTAATTTCAACTGAAATAACTCCAATTTCAACTTCCTGTCATTATTTGGATCAGTCATGGATCAAAAAGAAGTTACTAACACAACAATTCACATGCAAATTTTCTAATTTGTTATTCCAGGTTGACTGCCATCACTCAGCTTGTTCACCACGGAATGATATTTGTTCCCATTGGTTATACATTTGGTGCTGGCATGTTCGAGATGGAAAAGGTGAAAGGTGGGAGCCCCTATGGTGCTGGCACTTACGCAGGAGATGGTTCAAGACAGCCTTCTGAAATCGAGTTAGAGCAAGCTTTCCACCAAGGGAAGTACATTTCCAACATCACAAAGAAACTCAAGGAAGCTGCTTAGATCTCATTTCACTATCAAGTCACCATTTTACTCATTCAAGTATAAAGTTACCAATTTGTCCCCCATATTTTTCTTTTCGTTTCAATCAAGAATTTCAATTTCCTACATAAATTCACAGAGTACGGAACAATAATTTTGTTGGATATATAATTTGTATGTGTGTTGATTACATCGGTACCTGCGGTTTCCGTTAATGATAAAAGTTTGCTTTCTCTGTCTTTGCATTTCCCGTCGCAGTACTAGAGACAGACTCCACTGTTACCAAATTGTTAGAGCAAAATCCATTTAGCTTTACTCCTAGATATGACTGATAGAAGCTTCCTTATGTTGACCTAATTAACTTCTGAAAGAAATAGATTAGCAGGTACCTCACCCAAAATGCAGCAATCAGAAACGAACTACTACGAACCCCGGTCTTAAAAATTGAACTCCCCAATTCAGAGGCCCAACTGTGGTGCGCCTTTTTAGACACTACAAGGGTTGTGATATTATTACTCTTGTAGGCCCTTTTCGCTAATAAGCTGGGGCGGAAACTTCCACCATGTTCTTCTTTTTCGGTACACTCTTCACCGCTTACAACACTATACATTTCAATCACTTTGACCTTGCTTTACATTTAAATACTAAAGAATGGGAACAAAAATATATAATAAATGAGATAAAAAAAAACTTGAAATGAAAACTATATATTAATTCAAAATCAATTCTAAATTTAACCCAAATTATAAGTTTTTGTTACTTTGTTACCTTAACAAGTGAAAATACAACTTCTTCAATCATCTTGAAATTAAAGATACAAATAAAATTGATTCAATTATAAAACAGAACAAGATCGATACAGACATGACATAGTTGATGACAATGAAATTATACCTATTTTTGCATTTTTAATTCCAAGTAAATTAAATCAAAAAGGGTAGATGACAAAGTCTTTTTAGCAATCTCACCTACAAACTTGTCTGTTAATTCCAAGAATTCTCTTGTCTTTATATGTTCATCTTTTAATAAGCATGCATTTATTAGGACCCATACCCAAATGCAAAACATTATTATTAAAGCAAATTTGTTTTTTTGACATTACATAAGATTTTCCAAACAACAAGCCAAGAAAATTTAATCTTTAGTATCTAGTACAGAACTAAATCATGGATTTAATAATGTCAAGTTTCAAAACACCAAATCATTCTGCCTCAATCTCAGAATCCCAATCAAATCTATTACCAGCCTGAGTAGTAATTAATTTGCTCGAGAAGTTTGCTCCATGATAATTGTGTTTCTGGCTTAGGTGACAAAAAGTTCTGAATAATCACACAAGTTTGAAAGAAAAAAAAAAAAAAAAAAAAAGATAAAAAGGTTTGAATAGTACTTCTTAAATTACAACCAAGAAGGAAACTGCTCCGTCCCTCAAAATTAATCCAGTCTGCCATAAATAGTAAGTTCAGTAACCAGAAAAAGGAACAACCAGAAGGCTAAACTCAAAAACTTTAAGTAGAGTAACACTTAAGTTTACATGTCTGCTGTAAATGGTACTTCAAAGGACGTCTCTTGCAAATTTGACATATATATTTACATGCATATACGTATATAATCTTAATCTTAGTAGAGCTAGGTTTGTTATAAATTTTCTCCCAGCTTTGTCACTCTCCTTCTCTCTCTGTTTCCTCTATTCTTCTTGAATCTCGATATATATAAAATAACAAAAACGAAGGGTGGTTTCTGCCCAGAAAAAAAAAAAAAGAGGGTAAAAGTGTATTTTACCCCTCATATATATATGTATGTATTTGCTATATAAAAATTATATAATTATGACAATCTTATTTATTTTGAGTAAGCTATATAGGAAAATTTATAAAAAAAAAAAAGAATATTATGCATTCTAGCATTTTGTTAATTCAATGTCAATAATTATGTTGGGGCATAAGACCATGTAGTTGTCATTTTGCATAACTACGACATAATTAATTTTTTTTAAAATAGAAATTCATATATTTTATTAATTACTCGATAAAAAAACACTGATTATAATACGATCTTATAAAGAATACATAAAGGAACCGATAATTTAATTGAGTTCTACAATTTTTCATGGAAAAATGAAAAATATCAAATATTTAGTCAAAAAAAAATATTTAATTTTAAAAAAGTAATTAATAATCAAAAGAGATTTTATAAGAAATAAATGCATGAGAGAACTTCAATATTGTTTTTTAAAGTAGAGAATGTATATATTCATCAATTAAATTATATATAAATAACAATTATAATATTATAAGATAAGTTGTAAATACAAAATATATATATATATATATAAGTATAGTTTCATTCTATCCTACTATTTCTTGTAAAGAAAAAAGAATTTATCAAATATTAAGGTAAGAAATGGTTGGTGGCCCGCGGCTCAAATATAATCTAAGTTTCTTCAAATATTTGTCAAAGGAGAAAAGTTTGGCCTTGTATATATGTGAGTGTAAAGTAAATTATAAAGCTTGTATTAACTCCTAATTGGATAAAAGCAATTGCCAAAACACTTATATATATATGTATATATATGTATATATGTATATATATGTAGTACTTGAAATGAGGTAATTTGACAGGAGAGTATATAAGAGGAAAAAGCAAATTAAAGAAGGGAAGAGGGATATTGATGAATGTCTATAGATATGACAAATATAGATTATAAAGCAAGCCTATGATTCCCCCGGAGTCACATGGGCACGCTATATTAGCATAACATTGATCAATGCCTACCTAGATGCAAACTTTACACTATAACATACGTACATACATACATACATATATATATATATATATATTTCTATATATGTTCATATATCACCACTAAAGTTGATTCCAACTTGAAAACCTAATCTAATTTGATGATTTTGGTCTGGTAACTGATTTCAGGGCGTTTATCCCTCTGTGAACTTTATATAATTTTGCATTTTGGATGCCACTACTGGTTAAATATGTATATACATATATAGATATTTATGTATATAATATAATTAAGTAGAATATATTAGGATCGATACTTTTAGTTACCTATGGATTAATTTAAATACTTAATCAGTACTTTAAAATTAGTTTATTGATATTGTGTTTGCAAAACTCTCTTTTTTAACCAATACAATTCGTCATTGAGAAGTAACAATGACATATATGTATATATATATATATATATATATATACATACTTACATGTGTAGTAGCAATAATGCATATATTCTTTTTTATTATATGAGAGAGATTAGAGAGTAGAGTTGATTGCAGAATCTAACAAAAGTTCTCCATGTTTGGTCAGTTTTGTTTGTCAAAACTTTTATTTTAAATTGGAAGCTTTCTCAAGATGTTTTTGATATTCCACTAACACCATACACACACATAAGACATACTTACAGAGCTCTTGAAGAAATTAAAAAGATTTCTTCTGAGTACTTGCTTTATTTTTTGACGAGTAAAATAATTTTTATACACTCAAAACATGATTGATACATGATAAAAATTTAAATTCAGTAATATATGAACTCAATTTCTCAGCCTAAAATATTTTTGACTCTGTTCGCCTGACTATATTTTTGTTCATTGAGGATGTCCTCCGGCAACCTTAACATAAAATGTGAATACTTGACATTCGACAAGTACCAAGTTGGATAATCATCGGTCTTTCTTCTTTTTTCTAATATTAAATGAAGGATACTACAGACACCATAATATAACTAATATTTGACAAATTGATTATGTTCTGTAACCAACGAATTTAGAATTTAAATATTTATCATACTCTTAAAATTTAAAGATTTCTACCGAGCCCTTCAATGCTATTAGATCAAGAACTTTGACCTTGTTAATGATTAGGTGCAGCTTGGTGGCCATAAATTCCAGCTTTTAGAAGGTTTCTTTAACAATATAAGCGTTTTAATGGTACCAATTTTGTTGGGTTTGTTCCTTCAAAATTATTAGATAAAGATACATTATTATTATACGTTAATCTTACCTCTCTCGAACCCGAGCCTATTTATGATTATGAAATGTGTTGAATATCAAACATATTTGCAGCATTCAACCTACCTTGATAATTTGTTTGGAATATATTGAGTTTAATGGATTGCTTTAACATGTTCCGTTAATGAGTTTACTATGTCGTTTCAAAAAGTATAAGAAAATATAAGATATTAGCCTCCAATTAAGATTATTCATCATTCTGTTTAAATTTTTAAAAAAATAAATTAGAATAAATTAAACATTATTTATTTTTGTTCAAACAGTAGATAACTAAAATGTTGGTCCACTTTATTTCAATTTTAGCTGTGACAGAAATGGACTCAAACGACTAGATTTATAAAAAATATCATCATGCCTCAATATTTAAAACTTTAAAACCTCATATTTAGGAAAAAAGTTTCCAAGAAAATAAAACACCCCTAAAGTCCAAAAACCCAAGATCCTCTTTTGTTCTTACTTGTAGCCTCTAGAGGTTCTCTAGAAGTCCTCTCTCTTTCTAGCCTTCTCTAACTCTTTTTGGCTTCCTCCCCTTTAACCTTTAAAAAATCTTTTCTAGGTCTATATTTAGAAGTGTGAAACATGCCAATGAGCTCATGAAATCACAAGTCATCCTTTTTTTTTTTCACTTTCTTCACATTCTTCTTTATGCACCTAAAATAAATTGGTTGAAGAAAAGGTGTAAAAAAAATTCCATAATTAAAATTTGATTCATGGGGAATTGTACTGATTGTTGTTTCAACTTGCAAAAGTAGCTCGCACGCACTTTGTTTCAGTTACCTTTTTAATACTCAATTAATCTTATCTTTAAAAAAATATTTTTATGTATTTATTTATACAAATTAATTAAGATATTACATTGGATTTTGAACACTTAATTTATATTAATTATCAGGAAGATATCTGATCTACTTTAACCTAGACTAAACTGATTCGATACAAACTAATTCGCTTTACTCCTAATTAAAATATATTTTGGTTTGTTATTCAATCCATTTCATTTATAAATCAATTCTTAATTCACTATGGTCCAATCCAGTTATGCTCTAAATCGATGACCATTCGTACCTCTACTGCCCTACTTATTATTTGAATAGTGGTCTTATTTTAGTGATAATATAATTCATATCATAAAAAAAACTCATGATTCATTTATCCCTACGTGACTGTTCTAGTTAGATCATAATCAACAAAGTCAAAAGATTTTTTTACTCCTGAAATATTTCAATTTTAAAATTAAGTCTTGTTGGTTCTTTTCGCCTCCTGTTTGTATCGGTTTAGATATTAGCGTTCATCTAATTGTATTGGTATTTAGTGTATTAATGATATTGTGTCAGGTTAAAGATGGAGCTTTTGTGCAATGTTGTTTAGATTTTAGCTTTTTTTACTCTAATATTTATATGGCATTTAAGCTTTATGTTTTGGGTTGTGTTTATCATCTCCAATTTTAACGGTATGAGGTTTGGAAATTTTTTCTTGTATATTTTTAGTGATATTTTTGTCATTATTTCTTTCAATCTTTTTACTTAAAAAAAAAATTGTTTTAATAAGGTAATAGGTTAAATATCAAGTTACACTTACCGCATCTCAACCTATCTTGATAACTTATTTAAAACCTAATGAGTTTAATTGATTACTTCAACAGGTGTCATTAATGTAACAGAGTTTACAAGACTACTTCACTTAATTTCTTTGATGATTGTCTCCAATCATTTTATGAATTTTTTCCTAATTGATATTATTATATTGAGGGCTTTAAATAATCATAAATGCATATATTAAGAGAGAAAATATTTATTTCATGACAACAAAGCATAAGAGATATGGAGACAATTTGGTGAACAAGATGAGTGGTTATGTTGTTTAATATTTAAGGTGGATTGGATAACAAGGAAAAGAGATATGAATAAACATACTTAAAGCATTTATTTTTTATCATGTGTTGTTGTCGCGGGTTTGGTCTATTTGTATTATAGGAGGGTAATCTTTTGTAAGGGAAGTGATGAACTTATGTCTCTTAGTAGTGTCAGTTTTTTGTTTTCTTCTTTTAATATGAGCATGTGTTCCATGTGGAGGGGGTTATTTGAGCTTTACAACATGTTTATTTTCTCCAATGAAGTGGCATCTATATGATGCTTGTGTGGTGTCTATAAATTCAATTTAGTGTTATGTTTTGGTTGTTAGGGGTATAAGATGTCTGACATACACGAGTCTATGACATGGAGGTTCTTGCTTCTGATCTCAATTCTTACTAAAGTACATTTGCGTGATGTTCTTATTGATGTACCATTTTTTAGACTAAAAAAGTTTTGATGTATTATTGTCCATTTGTATCTACTCTTGTTCTGTACTTGTAGTGAGGGACTAGAATCTTTTACTTGGTACATAAAAGATTTTGTCTTGAATATGTGAGAATAAAAAGTGTAACTTCTAGTTTTAGGTTTTAGTTGTTATAAAGTAACGATTCATTCAATTTTTTATAGTTCTTAATTTAAGTTAAAATTCTATAAATTAATCACTAAAAATTGTTAAAATAGTTGAAAATATGATATTTAAGAAAATCTACAAATAATTGAGTTGGTTAACAAAATTACGACAAAGATACCAAAATTATTTTAGCCATAAAATTTATTTTTATTTGATCGGTAAAATTTTAAAATAATTTTTTGTCCACATAAACTTATATTTGTCAATGGGCAATTTTAAAATACATTCATTGACATCGACTTAATAATTATAAATGTATTCATCGATATCGACTTATTTTCTTAAAAGAAAAAAAAAAGAGAACCATAGAAAAGCATGTTTAACATGCATGAATAGTTTTGATATAATTCAACTAAGGATTGAGATATATATATATATATATATATATCATTGGAAATTAACAAGCCAATGTAGAGATCTAGGGTTTGCCTCTCTTTCCTTTCCAATGAATGCTCTTCAATCCGACCATTCGATTAAAAGCACAAAAGCAAAGAGTGATCTAGCATCTTCACATTTTCTTATGAATAATTTTTAATAATTTATGAATATTTCCAAAAGAATTTTATCATATGCATACATACATACATACATATATATATGTATATGTATATATAATTTGAAGTAATCTTGAAAAGTAGAAGCTGTGGGTCACCTTCTGACTTCCACTAACATATTCCAAAACCATAAACAAATGGAAAAGTGAGATTTCCAATCAAATGCTATCCCCACACCCCACTCCTCCCCATTCAGAAAATTAATCAATTATTCTTTCAATTTTCTTCTTCTTCTTTATTTTTTTTTATTTTTAAATAAATAAATTTCTTATTAATTAAAGCTAATGCCACCACCTCCATTCACAATTAGAATAAATCAGATTAAACAAAATTTTAATTAAGATTTAATTAATCCTCTCCAAATCTAAAAACCAACAATTTTCTGAAATTCAGAATCTATTCTTCCTCTCCATACTGAAATCACATGAAAAAAAAATTATTAATTGTTTCAAGAATTACAGATGCAAAGCAAGTAAATGTGATTGGTATATTTTTAAACTGTGTTTAATGACTTTTGTTTTGAGAAATATTAAAAATAAACCAATCACATTTAGTCGAAAAAACATATCTATAGGTTTAAAAACACTTGGATAATTAGTGGATGAAATACCCTATAATCATAATAATTCTCCAATTATTACAGGAATTAATCTTCTCCTTCTTCATGGTCCCATCACTGCTGCCCCAAAATCCTGCATCATCATCATCATGCCTGAGGCTGGCCCAACAATGCCATTTTCCCTTTTTGAAGGGTTATCTTCTTCCTTTGAATTTCCCATTAGCCTTCTGTAAGTTTTTTGTTCTGACCTTATCAACATCAAACCCCATGTTCGACTTGGTTTTCTAGGGTTTCTCTTGATAAGACAGAACGAACATATACATTTACTTCCATGTATATGATGCTATCTATCCGTGATATATATATATATATATATATACCTAGCTAGTTGGGTGCAGAGAGAATCTGTTAACGTGCGTTTACCGGAATGTTCCTCCGAAGGTAGGGGTCCAAAAATCGACGGTAGTCTCGTGGGTCACCGGAAAAGTGCTGGACACCGGCACCAGACACAGCCCTCGGCTTCTTAAATCTTGTTTTGGTCCCTGATGATCACTGTCCACCTTCAATGATTTTTCAGAGCTCTTCACACATCACAAAACGAATATGCTCTTTCATTATTTTCTTGAGAAAGACAAACTTTTAAACTACTTTAACTATAAGTTACCAAAATCATACATACATATATATATATATATTATATAGAAGGAATGAGAATATTGTACCTGTTGCTGTTGGTGCTGTAAGGAAGCTGCTCCACTTTTCATGTATGGGGTGCTTAAAACCTGATATATATTATATAGATAGGAAAGATACACATTAGCATACACACAAATTGCTCTTGTACATATATTTATATATATGTACGTATACTGATGTGTTTTACAGGGTTAGATAGAGAATGACAGAAGGAAGGTAGTATATTTATATGAAACTTACAGTCACTTGTTCATGGAGGAACTTAATGTATTCAATTGCTTCAGAGAGCACTGAGGCTGTATCAGTCTGACAAAATAATTAAAGGTAACAAAAAAATATTAGCTTTGATGGGTTCCGAAAGATGAAACTGTTGATATTCAAGACTATGTATATTTGTGTGTGTGTGTATATATATGTTGTCTTTGAGAAAGTAAAGCAAGGAAATAAGAGAAACTGGAAAATTAACATACAGATACGTATATACATACACACAAACATTATATACCTTTCCAAAAGGTGAAACCAATTGCTGTAGTGCTGTGATTCTGTCCCCCATCTTCTCTTTTCTCACCTTATAAATTCAAATTAAGCTACAATTACTTCTCATTCATGTCTATTTAACTTCAACTTTCAAAAAAAGTTAAGAAAATTGAGGAGATATATCTGAAATTAAGCTTAATTCGAATTAAGCTAAGTGTAATGATGATAATAATAATAAGTTACCTTAAAAGCTGGCAAAGGCGATGCTGTTTCGCTTCTAGCCCTTTTATTAGATGCAGGATTACTACTTTCACTTCCATTTTTCTTTACCACACTGCTTGACTCCCGAACTTCGGAAATATTCTGCTGAGAAAATGGAACCCAAAATTATAACATGTTTTCTTCTCAATCTCGGCTCCAAAACCCTAATTTCTTTTCTTAACTATAATTTAAAGCGAGGATTAAGAAAATAACAAAGATTCAAACCTTTGGCTTTTCTTCAAAATTTGGGTTCGAAAACTGCGGCTGCAACGAAGGGAAAAAGCTCGACCTAACGTCATTCATGGCTGTTGCAGGTGCGTTCCAAAACGGAGCGTTGTTGGAGAAGTGTAAGTGGCTATGAGAAGGCTGTTTCGGGGGAGAATTCCTCAAGAATTGAGGGATTTTAGGCCAAGAATTAGCCATCAATTCATTAGGATTCATGGCATAATTAGTATATTGATTGTAGTTCAAGGCCCGATTTTCGAAAGAAGATGGTTGAGGCTGTGGCGGAGGCTGATTATCAGACCCTAATAATCCTTGTAATATACTTGAAGCTTGACTGCCATAGATGCCTGCAGAATTGTCAATCTGGAAACTTGAGGGTAACCCTTGGCATGTTACCGTGCTGTCACTTGAGCTTCCATGGGGACTAAACTGCGATTGATCTAAAGAAAACCCTCTATTGAGTTGCTTAAACTCGTTAGCAGAAGATGAATCTCCACTGCTGACGCCACCAGCAAACATCTTCTCCCTCCACTGAACCTGAGACGACGTCGTTGTGGACGATGATCCCATGTGCCCAATCTCTTGTTGATGATACGGCGTCGTACTGTTGCTGTCTTGAAGCAGCGAACGGAAGCTGGGTTCAGCTTTATCACCTCGACTGATCAGAAAACACAGACGGAACGGAACTCCCACATAAGAAGAATCTTCCACGAGAGTTTTTGACAAAAGTTAACGGAAGAAGATAAAAGAGAACTTACAGTAAAGCTTGGTTCCAATCCATGGCCGGAGAAGAAAGTCCTAAACCCATCATGTGCAAGTGATCGCCGCCAGAATCAGAGCCTTGCAGCTTCTGGGTATCCTGGAAAACGACGGAGCTGCCGGAAACGGAAACGGAATCCATTGAAGACCTTGCTTTAATATCCACCATCTCCGTCGGCCAACCAAAGCTGCCGCCTAAACTGTTAATACCAGAGGAAGAAGACGAAGATCCGCTGTCAAACCTGTTCCTAGATGAATCCCACCAGTTTGTGCTCGTGTTGAACTCATCCGCCATGGCTGTCAGTTAATCTACCTAGTTAGATGATTATTCAATCACGCCAACCTTAATTCCACCAATTTCTCTACTGCTGACTGGCTCTTGATTTTTTTGGTCCCTGTTAAGATGCGCTGAAACTTTTACTACTCACATAAAATGATGAGAAACGGTTCGCTGCAAATGTGTGAGTCTATTTATATATATATACACACACACACACACATACTCAGTTGTAGAGAGGAGTATAGAGGTGGGTACAGGTGAAGAAGAACTAGCGCCAGATTGTGGTTGACATTTCAGGGGGTGATAACGTCAAGGGAAAGGTCATTTTGAAATTGAATTTTCTTTTCTCTTCATTTTTTTTTTTCAAGAAAATTATATTAATTAATTAATTATTTATTTTGTTTTTTTTTTTTTCAAAAAAAAAAAAGTCTCCAACTTTCCTCTTCTTATTTTTATTTTATTATTTTTGGGATGGTCGTGACTTTAATTTAATTAGGAAAAATTATAAGGGTCCAATAAGGTTGGCCCGCAAGAGCGCATTTTTTTAGGTGATGAGCCAATCATATCAAAGGAATTCCCAAATTCTTAACCTTAATAATAAGAAAAATTATTAAATATATCCTAAGGTGGCATCTTTTTTAATTATTGAAGAATAAATAATTAATAAAATGTATTTGAATTACTAACCAAAAAAAAAGAAATAACATGCATATATATATTTGTATGCATGTTCCACAAAAATAGTTTATGGTAAATTTTATATGTTTATAAATTTACCAAAGATAATATAATATCATGGTGTACCAACTTTATAAGATAATTTCTTAAATATCTACAACAATGTCTTTAGAATCATTTTGAAAAGACAACTCCAATGAAAAAAAAATCTAAAGCAAAACAATTTAGCAAAGGTAAATGACAAAAAAAAAACAATAATTTGTAAAAGAACAATAACATAATTAGAATCATATTGAAAAAGGACCATATATGTTTTAAAAACTATTTAAAAATAAACTCACAAGCCAAACAAAGATTAGAAACTATAGGTAAATGAGCATCTTCATAGCAAATGGGAGGAAATAATATTGCAAACTAACACGTTCTGAGTCTACAAAAAAAAAAAAGCGAAAAAATCATGTAAAAAAAAAGATTACTAACCAACCAAGTGTTTCTACTCCATAAAAAAAAGAACACATCTTTATATCAAGAGAAAACAGGAAGGGATTTTGGAATCCTTGTAAAATAATAAAAAATTAAATCGATTCAACAAAATTTTCAACTCTATTACCAATCAACCTGGCAAAATTTTTAGTGTCAATTATTTTTTTCCTATTTATACATTTGAAAGTTAGTAAGTTTATTTTTTATAATATATTTTTAATGACATTAGACTATTCGTTAACTACTCACCCATACTAAAGATGAATAATAAAACTACGATTTCAACTAGTAAGGTAACTTCATTCTTGAAAAAAAAAACAAAAAAAAAAGATAGATTTCATCCCTAACTATAAGGAATTTTATGAAGTTCGAGTAAGCGATGCTAATGGCTTAGAAAGGTAAAAAAAAAATTAATTTTTCTTTATCATTTCTCAAAAAACTCCAAACGTAAATTGAACTAGGCTTTGTTAAAGAAGAAGATGAGATTTCACCTTGTAAAATGGGAGACAATGTGTATTAAAAAGGACAAGGGGTCAACTAAGTATTAGTAGATTCTAAAAAATGAATCAAGTCCTATTGTTTAAATGCATGTGGAGGTTATCCATATAAAAAGCAATGATGTGAAAAAGGCTCATCATGATAACCATTAATTTACAAGTAAAATTTCTAAATATTCTTATACCTCAAAGTGCTTTCGCATTCTAGAGGGGCATTATGAAGGCTTTAGTGGTGAACTGTAGTGATGGGGCAGACCAAAGGGAGGAGCTCTCTGTAGCGGTGGGAGACAATTCTTGTATTCAGTTTTGGTTGAATGTATGGTTTGGGGTTGCACATTTAAACAGTTGTTTTCCGAGAATATTGTTACTTGAAAGGGTCCAGAGTGGTCTTGGAATAGTGGACTTAAGAAGTAGGTGGTTAATTTGTAAAGATATTAGTAGCATGAATTAAAAAAAATCTTAAGTGTGTGATATTTGTGAAGAATAGAAATAATATATTGGTGTGAAGATGGAAAACTCTTCTCGTTACAATATTTTAAAAGATGACTTCAAGAGATAAGGTAAGTGAAATGTGAGGAAAAATAGAGGTTTAGAGGGAAAAAGTGTCCACATAGGTGAAGGTTTTAATTTGACAAATGTTGAAGAGGAGCGTTGCAATTCTAGACCTTCTCCATATATGTTACTATAGATTAGATATTATGAACCTTTGTCCTTTATGTGAAAAATTACCTAAGGTTGTTGACCCCATCTTTTGTCTTGCTCTTATACTTAGAAGATGTATTGTGTATGTTTAGATTGACAGGGTGTTAGATGGTGTCCTCATGGGTCTTACTGTGTCTTTTGGATGTCTCATAGGAGTTTAGGTAGGAGTCATTAATGACAATATTTAGATAACATTACTATATGTTGTTTTGTGTTCTACTTGGTTGACTAGGAACAAGTCATGTTTAGGAAGAAAGAGATATTAATAAGGGAGTTATGTAGTTTAATTCGGTAAGATTGGTGTGGTGGGTTATGGTGGGTTAAGGCATTTTATAAGAAGTATAAGGATCTTTTTATTAATTAAATGACCATTTACATGCCTAAACTGAAGGGAGTGAAAGATACGAATTTTAGGCCTACATGTTCGACTTGAGTCCCACCAGTAAGTTGATATTAAACTTTAATAGTAATGCCTCAGTCTAGGTAAGTCAGGCCCAATTAGTGTTGGTGAAATTATTGAAGACAATGTGCACAGTGTTTTATGTATGTTGTCAAAGAAATTTAGTGTTGAAAAGTCTAACTTTGCTTAATTGAAGGCCATTAGAGAAG